TTATAGGTGTCGATGAGGGGTCGGCTGACTGATTGGTTCGTTTGTTCAATGACAGCATTATCTTGCCGACTTCTCTGGTGCCCACTTTTGCCTTCTCACTGTCTCAACTCCTGCCTAAACGCAAATCCGGTGTAGTAGGAGGAGAGCTGCACTAGGAATACGCTCAGTTTGGCCATCAATTCGCAGAGTGAGTGCTATGCGGCTCCATCTACCTTTATTTGGAGACTTGCAGGTAGAAATGAGGACATTGGAAAGCTGTCATTTACACGACACCACATGTGAATGGTACTGCTCCAGCGTAGCAGGGAGGGTGGAAATGATGCTCTGCCCCATTCCCCATTCTGTATTCCGTTTGCCCTACCACTTTCTATGTTGTGTCAGCCAAAGCGAGCAGCAGTTATCCGTGAGGAAACATGCGGCACAAGGAGGTTGGCAGGTGCGAGTGGTAAGGGAGGCGGAGGGAGTAGAGTCGTCAGTGGGAAGCTGTATTCTATGAAGAGGGAAACATGTCCTGCCACGCGCATCAGTTGCTGTTTCTTGTGAAGCAGTAAGTGAGTAATTGGAAAAAGTGAAGCCAGAATTGTATAGTAGACACACGGCTCAATCTTTCGGAGGCGCACTTAGCTATTGTACAAATACAATTGCTTCGAAACCTTTCGACCCTCCTCAGCAAGTGCAACGAGTCGCAGGCGAGCAATGTGATCGTAAACAAACTCCGGCTCCCAACCGGGTTGCTGCTCCACAGGTGGTATGAGACACACAAACAACGTGGTTGGCTGGCATGACGTGGTGGGAAGAGGGGTTGTAACGGATGTAGTGCCTTCCCACTCGATGCTTGGTACATAGGTGATTGATGCACCGCTGGAGACTGCGCTTCTTCCCACCCTGCTGCTGAAGGGGTACTCCAGTCCATCACAGCTCACCCACAGATAGTCAACACCTTCGATAACCCACCGCATTTTCCATTGCAAATGTGTGAGATTAGCAAATTTCACAAATTTTATGTCTGTAATGGCATTGAAAACGCAAAGTTATTTGGACTTTCTGTAGAAACTAGAGACGGTTGAGTTAGTTGAAGCACAATGAGATTTATCCTCACGCCGTCACAATGGGTTTGCACTTGTGGAAGATCGAACTGTAACCTCACCACATTTCACACCTTACTGATGAAGAGATTAAAAGGTACTTACTAAAGGTGGCCAAATGGTCGATCAAAGGCTTGCAACGT